ACCATTGATCATTTATACCAAAAATAATGTAGCTTCAAATGTACAATTTACATGGATAAACCAGTAAGTACCAACTCAGAAGAATAACTATCTACTAAGAAACAGACACCAATCCGAGTTCACCAAAACTATGTATTTAATCTTAAGATTCATTCGTATGTTTCAAATCTCGTGAGTTTAAAGTAGGTTCTCCTTCAATGCTGACAACAGGAAGTGGAGTTAGACATGTAGATGTTTTGAGATTCCCAAGCCAAATTGCCAGATCGTTCTGGGCCGTGAACAACTATACTTTCATAACTGGAGGTCAAGTACTTCGGGAATAGCACACATGCTTTTCCATTTTGAAATGTTTGCCAACAAGTCAAGGATGGCTCCCTTTCCCACAATGCTATATGCTTGCTTATAATCTTCTTACAAAGAAAAAGAATGACAAAATGCATGCCTACATGTAAAATTATTAATAATTATTGCTTTTATGTTAGAGACATAATTACAACAGACCAATGACTACTGAACCTTCCCAACACAAATCCCTAGTCTTCCCTGTAACTTAGTGTAAGTGTCCAACAAGATCTAATTAAAGCATTGTGAGAACTTCTGGGTTGTGATTGGTTGACGTCTGACAGCCATGTTTGTTTTCGAAAGAGTAGGGACAACTTCTGTGTTCTTAGTGATGCACTCTTGGAACAAAAACAACTTCTAGGACTAGGCGTACATATCTGGAACAGTACGCCTTGACCGATGTGTGCCCAGCTGAGTGATTCATATCTTGTATTTGGTAAGGAAAACCTCTATCCTCACAAACGCCAGACAGCTTAGTTTGGGATGTTTGTGGTTTCCTGTGAGGGTTTTGTGCTGTTGGAGATCTGCAGATACCTGTAAGACCTCCCAGAGAGCCCCCCACCCATCCCCACCCACAACATAGACATTACTCATGTCTTAAACAAGCAAACAGGTGAAGGAGTCTCCTGTTGCCTACTTCAGCCACAGAAAGCTAAACAAAGCCCTGTGGCCTGGCATATTGTTGTCAAGTTCTAGACTGAGGAAATCCTGTGGTTCGCAGACAATTGCTACAGACCAAAATCTCTTTATTCAAAGTTTCATACACACTCGAACTGGTCTGACTTTAACCTTCAAAATGTCATGCTGTTGACCTCATTGTGAGGCAGGCAAATTTGCATATGTATGAGATTACTTTGGCATGTCAGGTAAATCTGCAAATGTGTCCAGAAGTGAAGTAGAGTTCGTTAGGAACATTGTCACGTCAACGTTGGTGACAAAAACCTTAGGGTTAAATGACGCCAAGCAAGCTTTGACTAAGTTATGCTTTCTTTGTAATAAATCAATGTTAATTTATGTTAATTCAATAATAACTTTTATCCATAATGCTACATGTATTCACTGCTGTTACTGTTAACTTGGAAATAAAATGTGTACGCATATGCCAACAAAAAGAAGAATAATCAGATCCAGTAGCTCAGCTGAAAGTGTTTTACACAAACTTGCCAGAGAAAATACTGTGGATGCACACACCTGCAGTGAAACACTGCTTCTCCCTTATTGGCTAGATTTTTAAATAATGGGCAGCCAGGATCAGTATTTTGGCATGGAATAGGTGAAAAGTCTAAGAAAACAGTATCTATTACTGCATGATTCACAGCGGGGAGAAACATCCTTGCCAAGTGTAGACCCAGGGTAGCCTACCTTTAGCCCTTTGCTGAAAGGTACTGCCTGTGTCTATTTTCATCTTGGCAGTTTCTCACACGCTAAGAACATAGATTCTGTCGAAATATTGCCTGTGCCAAGAAAACTGTTTGTAGCCTCAGGTAACCTATTAATCAGAAATGCCTAACTAGCAAACCTCCCTTACGACATCCCACCAGTACTGTACCGGGGTAAGGACCCAGTCAAAGTCGTCATACCAAAGCTCTACAACTGCAAATTAAAGGCATTCTTGAGAGTGGTGATGTGTTATATACAAAATTTAGCTTTCTACTGAACTGAAGGAATAGTTTGTTGTAGAGCCTCATCAACAGTTTGTTCTGCTCAGGGTATAGCTTACAAGATTCCTTCCAATGAAGGGCGATAGCATGTCTAAGTTCTGTTACGAACCCTAACACTCAGGTAGATCAGCATTCAAGCCCCATCCTAGAGAAAGCATGCCTGACCAATAGATCAGCTTCAATCTTTTTTTACCAAAATACACTGGAAATTGACAGTGCATGAAAATGGATCGAGTTGAGTTTCATGCTGATGGGATTTAAGTCTAGTACACAGCATTAACATACTGGATTAAGAGCTACACAAAGAGATGCCTTATTTGTGAAGAAATTTTCCCTTAAGCCAGCATGACAGCCCCCACCACTTCAGGTGAGGTGGAGCATACCTCGTATTACCTGAGATGCTTCGTCTGAGGACAAAGACAACAAATGGTTAAAATGCTGATCACCAAAGAATGCGGTCTAAAGAAACTATACCATTTGGTGGTGCATTATTTTTAGAAGTTAAAAGTATTACCGAGGGTAAGGTCTGAATTTCCCACATTTTATCAAACATATGTCAGGGCTAGAGATGCTGTACCATCAGCAAATGCAGATAAATGCAGGTTTTTATGGTGTCAACCTGCACCTAACCTGTACTGTAACCTGTGTAGGATTTCGAGCCCTGCGTGTTCTTGGATCCAACATTCACAGGGAATCACAATAAATGATGACATTTTTACTGATTGACTGATACATACACTTGTGTGTGTGGCCCATCGCAGGAGGTCAGTATGTGACATGATAGGTAAAACCACACAAACAAGGAGTTGTATCAATAACATTAACAAAGTCTTTCCTTGAGAAACTACGGCACCAGGAAATCAAATCTAAGGATAAGGAATGCAGTAACCTTTCGTGGATAGATAAGGATGGAGGGGGTTAAGGGGTTAAACGTAGCCCATCTTTAAAGTACAACAAAGCAAGGTTAACCCCTTTTTATTCTTGATTTCATACTGCTTGAATACTCTGTTTCATATAAATATGATTTTATAGCAATGCTCAAGGTCTTGACATTGTGCTACATGGGAAAATGGCCACAAAAAATGTTCAAGGTTTGTTACGTAATATAATAGAGCCTAGCTGAAAGTTGTGTGGAGTGATGAAAGCCAGCTCAACTTTGACTTATCAAAAGTTCACCCTGTGCAGTAAGGTGTTTATCATCACTTTCTACTGAACTTTTAATGTGCATGTACAACTTGGGCCGACTTTAGACTGACGACGGTATACGATCGCACGACAATCGTTGTTGGCGACGGCTGGCTTTAGACACATGACCAGAATGTGTGGCGAACACCCGCAGCGCAGGAGGGCACGCCGCGCGCCAATTCAAAATGGCGAGAGAACCCCTTTTTTCGGCATGCTGCAGCAGATTGTTTTTATTCTGCTTTTAACTCGTTGTCCTGTTGATGAGACGCCGAGTTTGTGCCCAGCAAATAAGGGGTATATGGCACATGTACCGAGCGGGGCAATACTCCGGGTTTGAACCCGGCGTTCGGTGCTGACGTCGGCCTGGCTACATTGGCCGGGAAATGTGGATCGGCGGATTGGTTCACACAGGAAAAGTAGCGATTGGTGGCAGGGGATTGTACTAGACACGTATGACGATATAAAGTCTTTGGTTTGACGACATTTAATGATACAGGCGATGTGCTTGGACATGAAATAACGCTTGCAGGCTTATTTGCATAAGGCTAATGACCTCCCACTTCCGTCGCCGGCGACGGTTCACTTTAGACGGTGGAAAATCCTCCTCGGACCCCCCGCTGAAGGATCGCACGATAGGGTCCGAGGTGGTAGTGACGACGATTCGAGGATTACCGTCGTGCGACTATTTTGATCGTGTTTAGACGGTGGTAAAATACCGTCGCCGGCAACATCTTGACGATAAACATTCGTACGACTATCGAACCGTCGTCAGTCTAAAGTGCCCCTTGGACAACATGTGATCCTTGTAAAGCTGGGCTTGTAATATTACTGCTAATTAATAAGTCCCTTGTACTACTGGTTCAGAGAAGTTGTGTAAATAATGCATTCCAGAAATCGTTGTAACTTGTACACAACCTGACCCATGTCAGCTTGTTATTTTAGTCTATAACTCCAGACTTTCTGCCAAAGGGCCCTTTGCAAACATTGGAGTGTCATTTGATGCTCTCTTTCTGCTCGAGACACCCTGGCCGGACTGGAGATGCAGCGACAGCCATTTTTATAGAGAAAATGTTTTACGCAAAAGAAGTGCGCGCCGCCATCATTATTTTCTGTGGAATAACTGCAGAAGTAAGAGCACCCCCACAAAGCTGAAAAACTGCATTGTTGGCAACATACTGTGGGTCACTGAAATTCGCCACAGCGCCCACATATATGAGGCAATGCAAAATGCAGCTGGTAAAATTTTCAATCGCCCCACTGTGCCGCCCCGCCCACCTTTTCTACATAAAGATTTCGAAGAAGACATTAAATACTATTCCAACAGTGACATTAACTTAGCTTTACTTGACTCATAAGCCTTTCCCTCTCAAAATGCAGGATAAAAGTTAAAACATTTCTAAGGCACCTCTTTCTAAATTTGATTGTCTTAGATGTTCAACAGTGAATACCAGTGGTGGGCTGGCATAAAAACCTTGTGACAAGCCTTGGTACTGTCCAGCTGTGGCTCATTGTTTATGCTGCATGACATATCTCTGAAAGAACAATTAAGTTGATATGTTTACCTTTCAAGTCAAGGTCAAACAACATTTCCTCGCCATGTCTATTTAGTGAATATTTAAAGCATTTTTACTGGCTTGTATTGTGATAAAGCAGCTTCAGTTGTACCACATGATAAGCACAGGCAGTGCTGATTTTGGTGGCCAATGAATGACAAGATACACCAAAGTTTGTTATATTTTGACACACCTGTATTCAGTTTATTCCTGTGGAAACCATACTCATGTTCTGTTGTTTTGTTTTTGTTTACTGCAGGGTACACAATGTTTGGGTTGCAGTGGCCAAAATTCTTGCTCCTGTGTAGGGCAGAAAGGCAATAGGGTAAGTACAATCAAGTGTTTCTGACAAGAACTTAGAATTAAGAAGGATGGGGTTTGCTACAGCCGCCATGCATCTACTCTGATGCCTGCGGCTTGATTGATTGGTTTGCTGACTTATGATCCTAACATCTGAGGGCCATATTGCCTTGTTTAGTGCTACCTGAGTTTTCAGCCAATCAGGACGTACCTTTTCAAGAGATTAATGAGGTTTTTACAGGTAGGGTCCTGATTGGCTGAAAACTCGGGTAACGCTAAATAAGGCATGGCCCTCAGATGTCAGAGTTCCCTTCAGCACAAGGTTAACCTGGTTAACCCCCATAGATCGTGCCCTGAAGGGAACCCTGAGATGTGACGATGATAGGGACCTTAACCATGACACTTGGAGGGTTGAATGTACAGAGGTGACTCAACATGTACACAAGTATGGAATATTGGTATTCATAAGTCTCTTCCTTTATGACACAATACAAATTCTACACAATGTTCTAATTGTTTATTTTTAGGGGTTATAAGGATCGAATCATAAATGACAGGTGGACAGGTACTTTTGTTACCAATGGGGTGTGTGGAGAAAAAGTCTTTCAAGTTTGGTTTGAGCAAGAGCTGAAGTAAAGTTAGGGAACTCAAAATCACCAACCACCATGATTGTTCAGGCATATCAACATTGCATGACGATTGTCTGTTACTAGTATTCCTGACAGACATACCTGATCAGATCAACCAATTATATGTAGCAGCCAACCAGACTTGGAAGTGTTTTTCGTGGGTGAAGTCCAAGAAAAGGGCACTAGCCAGACTGACATCCAAGCATGTTGGCTTGACTGATGTGGATGAAGTTTTAATTTGATTTGAGAATAGACAAGTGACAGGTGGGCTGTGTCTGAGAGAGGCACATGATTTGGCTTCAATCCCTGTGTGACGTCGTGACTCCATTCAAAGAAGAAAAGTCAGCTGTTGGCAGCACAACTCTTCCATTTTGGCTGCTGGTGGAACTTACAGTAAAAATACCACACATCTTGATACCCTTGCAAATCTATAACAGTAAATTCAGTTACAATATAGTGCTGAATATAGGTATTAGGACAGGGTGTCTGGCTTTTTTAGAGGATGCACACCTTGCAAATGAAACCAAGCTCTGTTGCTGTATTGGCTACAGATCCAAGATGGCAACTAGCCATTTCTAAGGGTGACAGACTTCTGACATCTGCAAAAGGATGTGTTGATAATTTCTAAATATGAAGACATGACAAAAAGGATATTGAAGAACTTTCCACACAAAATGTAATGAAGTTTCGAGTCTTCAACCAACCAACATGGCTGACGTTGAATTGTGTCATAGTTGCGTGACTGCAAAGACCGCACTAGCCAGTGGATATCCTTAGTGTCAATGGGCCCGGCCTTGGCAAGGAAAGGCCAGATGTAGTTTCCTCACGTTTGTCCTGAGTAGGTGGAACAGCTGGGATATCTCCTGTCCCCCACGCATGGGACTGGTTGGTTGTGTATGCAACCTTAGCTAAAGTGAGCTGGAGAAATAACAGGTCCCACTTTTGAACAGACACAAGTGCTACCAAAAGGACATCCCTCCCCACACATCATCGTACATCATGTGATGTCACTGTGCAATTGCACTTGGGACGAAGATGGCATGTCATCTTTCCCGTGGTCTGTTCTCAACCCTCTAATAAAGAAAGACCTATTCACAGTTTTGTTCAAACAACTTTTTTGGCCCAAATACATAGTTAATATTCATCAAGCTAGAGTCATTAGTAACAAACTTCATTTCACATTGACCCCCAAAAATTATGATGATGAATAAAAAAATTGTTTTCATGCTTTTCTGGAAATGTTGTAGGCATCCTCTTGTGTAAAGGATAAACCCTAATATTAGCAAAACATGATATGCAAATTGGTTCCAGAATTCGACCAGAAGTTTCCCAAAGTTGATGGCAATGACCTCTTTTGCTGACGTGTCTTGGCCATAACCTTGTCTCAAGGCTGTGACCCCGGGGGTTAGACAAGGCCATCTGAGTCTAATTATACTCGAATTCTGATCAAAAGATTTGATTTCCAGCATACAAATTTTGACCTGTGCCTTTCTAAAACTTTCTAGAACTTCTCTTACATGTCAAGTGTCAACCTTGTTGTGAAGTTAACAAGACATATGGTATGCCAGTCAGTCACCTTTGACTGGATGCTGGAGACAGGAAACAGTTAAAGAGAGCTGATGTGTTCTGTATAATTGTGTTGTTCCTGCCCGAGGATCACTTAAACTTCTCTATATATCTGCTTATGTAACTTTGAGACGAGTCTGTTAAAAGATTTTGACAGTAAATGACCACCACCAATGGAAGACTGAGATCCCATTGTCTCCCTAAAGGTTGACATTGATGGGTGCATAGTCTGGAGGTCAACAGTAAGACAGTCCATGGCTAGCGGGATGGGGTCTGGTAAATTGTGTTAGTATGTCTGCATTCTTTGCAGCTCCAGCTGATTGGGAACAGGCACCCAGCCGACACACAGGAAAACACCTCACCAACTGGCCAGCATCCAAGTGATTAACACTCCAACCAACACTACGTAATGATTTTACAGCAAATATACAGACATGTGTGTTACTTTACCTCTATGTTTACCATAACCCGCTGTAATCAACACAAACTTGTTGCATGGAGGAGGTCTGCAGCAGGGTAAAGGTTAAGGTAAAAAGTACATCCTAATGAATCACAAGTGCCGAACTTGTCAGCAGTCCAGGATCCTTAACCCTCTGTGCAGTCAGACTTAAGTCCTTTTAACCATTTTAATTAGCTGAAATTCACAACACTAATTTGCAACAAATGCCTAGTTTGAAAAGATAGAACCCTCATCTAAAGAGTAAGATCTAGAGCACCATGTACTCCTTCAGTTAAAGCTGGAACCTATTAAAATAGAGTGTGCTCTGTGGACAGCCCTAATCTTGAAGTGTTTTTATGCGTAGAAAGTAGCCGAGTGACTTTTAGGTTTATTCACACTTGCGCTTAGTAAAAGGAACTTTTTTCAAGTTCAATTGCATTAGTATTGGAATTGAAAAAGAGCTCAACTATAAGTATGAATGACTGGAGTAGTCATTTGTAACATTTGAAGGGTTAAACTTGAAGCACCTCCTTATAATGATGCGGAAATTCCAGATTGAGAGAATATAAATAGGCTTAAAAGTCAGCTGTTCATTTACAAAAATAGAAACTGATGCTTTGAAGACAGCCGTCTTAATTATGTGTAGGAGGGATTTTTTTTATAGAAATAAGCTTAATATTAAACAATTCATCATAACATGTGTTGTCACTGTCTAAATTAAGTGTAGGAGGGATTTTTTTTATTGAAATAAGTAACAATTCATCATTGTACATGCTATAGGGCTTATTCACCACAGATCGTCACGTGACTCTCCCCCTGGCGTCCGCCATTTTGGGGCTATCGCTATACGCAATGCTATGCAAACTCTTGGCGATAGTTGTGTATTTTGGGCCACAATCTACGTTTTGGACACTCTTCTTGTTAGGAACATTGTCCTTGGGGTTGTTCTGGCTCCGTGTCCACTTTTCATGTTGTCAAGATTGGCTTTTCAGTCTTTCTTTGCTGATCAGAAATCGGTGTGTTTAATCCTGGCGCGGCGTACGGGGCTGTACATGTACATGTAGATTGAAACGTGGGTAGCCATGAACACGGTAAAATGTTGGACTCGGAGCTACCTGTCCCTTTACTCTGTGGTAAATGTCCATGTAGAACAGGGCACTGGCAACTTGTAACACTCACCTTGTCCAGCCACAGTCGCGGCAGTGCGGACTGAGGATGGCGGCCGATGGCCCCGCATTTGTTTGTTATTATCCAGACACAGTCCGGGGCTGTTCCAAAATAGCGACCTTTTGCGTATCCCGACTACAACGCACTTGTCACCACGCAACTGCATGTCCCACAACACTCTCTACACATCCTGATACAACGCTTCCAGACTCTTAGAGGGTTTGAACCGATGTTGTGTGTAAAAACTTCGGCCCAGTACCAAATAAGTCGCGTCAATGGACTCCGCTGGCGGTAGACGCCGTCTCGATCAGACTGATCAAAACTCAACAAAAACGGGTCAATCCCAACAGATTTTATTTTGTTCCAGTAACGAGAGGTATGAGTGGTGGTAAACTCTTCGTGTAATAGGACAAAGGACAGTTTACCTAACGTTTGTCGGCCATTTCAATGCTTGGAAACTCGCTGTAGGCGCTGTAGCCCCAAAATGGCGTCGCACGGGACATGAGGGGTCGTGACGTCATGATGACGTGTGGTGAATAAGCTCTATACCACAGCTTACATGCCCAAGTACTCTGTGTACTCTGTAAGCTTTGGACACTTCGTAGAACTTTATTGAAAGACCTACCAGAAAGAATTCATCTGCTAAGACAGTTGTCACTTATGTCCCTGGAGTTTCATGGAATTTTGCAAACAACCTTGATACTTTACGAGCCTGGTCCTTGGCCAACTCAGTCAAGGCAAGCCTTTTGCAGGGGTGGAGGAGGAGTTCAGGTCAAAGTGAATGCTGTCTTACATACACAAAATATAAACAAGAAGCCATAGGTGACAATTCTCCGTGAAGTATTATATATTGCAACAAAAAGAAGTAGCCATTGGCGACAATTCTCTGTGAAGTGTGATAAATCGAACAAAGAAAAATTGTTTAAACGCGCGTCGGCTCAGTCATCTTAAGACGCAACAACCAATCAGAGATGCGAGATGCCTACACGTGACGCGGGAAGGGCGCGCGATGCCCGAAATATTTTTGCGTCAATATTCAGCGCCGTGATTCAAGAGATTAATACCCGGAAACAATTTTTTCTTGTTTTGAACGCATTAACATGCATTTACGCTAATCTAGTATGATTCAGGGTACTTTTTTTTTAACCTGCCA